TTTTTTTTTTTGCTGTAATTTTCTCTTTCGTTTCGTTTCTCTAGCTTTGATCTCTTGCAGATAGATTTTACCAGCAGCTTATCTACGGTCTGATAACAAGTTTATGTTTTTTTCTTTCTTCCAATCAACTCTTTTTGTTCTTTTTGTTCTACTTTTTTTCTCTTCAAAGTTCCAGAACTTATTTGGGATTTTACAGCGGAAGTGCGCAATATTATTTTCAGCGTATTATCAAGCAAAGTCAGGGCGGTAATTGAAAAAGTGAAAATGATGAGAGTTATACCTCTCTGCTCATTCAGTATTACTATTCGAAAGAGGGTACAATTAGAAAAAAGGAGTGGATTACGTGGCGTTCACTACGTTCTGATCAAGTACAGACAAACTTCGCCATGAATGAAAGAAGTTTTCTTTTTCCTTATAATTTTTTATTCTCCTGATACCGTTTTAATAGTGTTTTAAACCGTATCTTATTGCATAAAGTTTATTTTGAATAATAGTGCAGTTTTCAGGCATAACAGGGGATGGACGAGGAACGAACGTTGGCTAGATAGTGAGGAATTAAAAGAGTTATTTTCATCTGAGATGAGATTACAACATTCAAAAAGGTTGATAGCCTGGGATGTGGAAAGTAACATAAGGAGAACTACTTATCTGCTTGAGACTCTAAAAAATGTAATGATGAATCGACTGAAACAAAATTCAACACTGGATTACTAAAGTTTCTCGTAGTCACTGAGCGGCAAATTTATTAGTCACCAACTGTAGTGAGAATTCAGCGCCTAGAAACTTCAGTAGAAGTCGCAATTTTCCTAAACACTGTTAGTAGGCAAGCGGTTAATTGCTTTGTATAGTAGGACTTTTTTGAGACTAGGTTTCCACAAGAACATGTTAAAGAAACGTTCAGCAAACGGCTTCTTGATTGAAAGGCGTTTCAGTCAGTCGTGAAATTTGGTAAGTCAGGAAGAAGTGTTGAAAGGGATTTGGAATTACCACAGTTGAATCAAGCAGAAATGATAACCTCTTATACAGGAACTGAATTAGCTAAACATCAAAAACAGACATCTTCAGGAGTGTGCATTGCTTGGGTGAAATGAAAACCGTGTCGAGCAACTTTTCCTCCTCCATTATGTTGAACAAGAAAGTTACACTACATTGGAGAGAGCTGTGGTAACAGAAAACGTTGGTTGTCTTTCGCAAAATCTAACACTATTTATGCTTGTTCACAGGTGAAAACTGATAAGTTAGTTAGGTATAGATATAGCTGTGAACAATTTTTTTTCTTCAATAAGCAGAAAAAGTTGAATACCCGACTTTGACAAAACAAGTCATGACGTAAATACGCTTCTCTGCTTAGAGAGGCATTATGTCAGATAAGCGGGAAATTTTGATTATATGACCAATAACGAATGGTTTTCAAAGGTAAAGGAACATGAGCGCTTCTTTGTGCTTGACCGTACGTTGGAAATGAACTGACTAACTCGCATTTAAAGCAGAAATCTCCCCGTCAACCATTGGAGCACCTTTTAAACTGTATGACCCGTGTTGAAAACATTGAAATAAGTTTTTCTTTTTCTTTCTTGTCAATGATTCAAACCTATTTATGCGCTGCTGTCCTGCCTTCAAGAATCTTCCCGAACAGTGATATCAACCTACTGCATCTTCCTAATCCAGGATGATTTCGCGTGCGGCTGCAGAACTTAATCATGTCATCGTCACGTACACAGCTGCAGACTTAAATTAAAGATTAAAAAGATTGTTAGGTAGGTCAGAATAGTTTTCTCCGTAAGCTATGCATTTACACTTTCTGAGGTAGACTGCGACTTGAATGCATTGGACTTAGATTGCTTAGACGGATAAACGAATAAGCGGTTAACTTAGCCGTTTAAAGTGCTGTAGGACCTGAGACAGATGTTCACGCTCACCATACGGCTTTTTAACGAGAAAGGTCTTTCAGCAAATGAAACTTTGTTATGAGATTAAAAATTTTAAGTATTTATTCGCTACATTGCAAATAACCACCTCCGTCCAATGAATATCAC